TTTTCACTGGAGGGTAGCTTGCTATCATAAGGGTTTGGCTGACAGGGAAAGATTGAATCTGTTCAGTGAATTCTTGACTAATACCAGGCAAGGATGTCATTGTAGAAATGGTTCTTGCAGGTGCAGGGCTAAGTAAGAATTGTAATTATTCAAGCTCTGCAATACACTTGCTATGAGAAATTGGGCAAATTCTTTGACCTCTCTGTGGTGAAATAGGGCTACATTCATTTGAATACATCTATTGACCTCATTATACTCTGCCTTTGGAGCTGGGGATACATCTGTGAACAAGTAGATGAGTTCCTGCTTATGTTTTAGTGGAGGGAGCAGAAAATGAACCAATTAGCAAAGATTTCTGATCTCCACTTTCCTCATAAACCTGCCCCCCGCCCCCAGTATTAATGACAGCTTCATTCTTCTGGTTGCTCAAGTCAAACCCCATGAGTTATCCCGGCTTCCTCTGTCTTCACCCCCATTTAAACCATCAACAAATTCTGCTGGATCTACTTACAGAATATTAGGTTGGTGCAAAAATAATCACAGGTTTTGCAATTTTTTAAAAATTGCAAGACCGCAATTACTTTTGCACCAACCAAGTACATTCAGAATTCAACCACTCCTCACCATGTCCCTGCTACCACCCTGGTCTGAGTTACCATCAGTATTCTCCAGATTATTGCAATCAAATCTCCTCACCAGCCTCTCAAAATGTATGCCTGATCATGTCATTCCTCTGTTCAAAATCCTCCAATTGCTTCTCCTCTCATTCCAGGTAAGAGCCTGCATCCTTACCCTGACTTCTTAGGCCATGCATGAGCTAACCCCCACTCTCCTCCTCTCTCTCTTTTGCCCAGCCTCCTTTCCTACTCTTCTCCCTTTTGCTCCTTCTGCTCTAGCCACACTGGCCTTGCTGTTCCTCACACAGCCCAGCATGCTCCTTTCTGCTCTGTGCTTTTCACCCTTGCTGTTCCCTCTGGAATGTTCCCCAGATATTCACACTGCTTGTTCCCCTATTTCCTTCAGGTTTTGTTCAGATGTTTCTTCCCCATGAAGGTTTCTCGAGTATTTATCTAAGATGTCAGCCCCATCCCCACCTTCTGTCTCCCTTCCTTGCTTTTCTGTTTTTCTCCTTAGCACTTGTTCTAAGAGACGATATATATTATGCATTTGACTTATTTTCTATCCCCTATTTACTAGAATGAAATTTCCATACAACCAGGGACTTTTGTCTGTTTGTTCATCAGTCTGTCTTTAGGACCTAGAACAGTGCCTGATGCACAGTAGGCACTCAAATAGGTATTTGTTGAAAGAATGAGATAATCATCACCATCAACAGTGATTCTATAGAAGATATCAACCGTGTGCTGCTGGACGTTTGTTCATACTGCAGCCCCAGGGAGTTAGATGAATAACGCACCTTCTTTAGAGTTTTAAAAATAAATTGTGCCCCCACCTCAAGGTCTTTGCACATACTCTCTCTCTCTCTCTCTTTTTTTTTTTTGTCTGGAACTCTCTTCTACTGATCTCTGTCCAATTTCACTTTATTCATAGCATGGCCAAAGCATCACCTCCTCACTGAGGACCTCCTGGCCTGAAGACGCTCTCAGACTCCTCCTGTTCTATGCTCTCACAGCCCCCTGAATTTCCTCTTGGGAGCACTCATTACCATTATAATTAAATAATTAACTGCTTGCCTAGTGAGTTATTTAAAGTCCGTCTTCCCTGCTGGGATAGAAGTCTATCTTTTCCACTCCTTTATTCTCGGCATCTAGTGCAGACTCTCACACATGTAGTTGCTCAGCACATATTTGCTGAGAGAAGTAACACATGAATGAAATAATCATAAAGATTTTAGCTTAGAGGCAGGATAACCTGATGAATAGTGATTATCAGAGCAAAGATGTGTTCAAGTGATGCTGGCGGTGGTCGAGTTTTCACTTACGTTGTCGGTGGTGGTGAACTGTATGAGCTGGTTGGCCATGCTCCTGATGTGAGGGGTGGAGATGAGAGTGGCCACTTCAAGCTGCAAAGAAGAGAACAAAAGGCAGGGATGTTTGGGGCCACTCACAGGGCCCTGAGTTCCTAAAGTCCTCACTAGAAAAAATTGGCTTCAAAGTGAAATAAGTAAAGGGAGTTTTGATCTCAAGAGTTTTTGTGGCTTTGAAGATCACTCTGATAATGGACTCAAAGTTCATGGCTGAGGGTTTGTTCAGAGCTACAGATAAAGGACATTTTCTAGCATCAAGATACTGGAATTCAGGACTAAGTTAGCTATCTTGGAAGCAGAGAGAAAGTAGCAGCAGGAAAAGTGGGGCCAACCTGGGTAAATGGGACAATGTGGTATCTGACGAGTTCCAGAAGCTTTCGAGATCCCTGCAAAGGAACCAAATACTTCTTTAGTCAAAGAAGAAAACACAACACTTCCACTCTTATGGAATCCTCTTCAAATGACTTTAGACAATCAAGAAAAATGGCCCACAATCTATTGGGAAATCCAGGGTGAGAGAAGCCTCACCTCCAAATAGCTAACATTCACCACATTCCCACTCTGTGGAAGAAAGCTGTTTTGAAAGCATAATATGCACGTCTCATTTAATCCTCCCAACAGCCATGTGAGGTAGGGACTCCTATGGACCCATTTTATGTGTGGTAATACTGAGATTCAAAGACACATCCAAGGTCACAAAGCTAACTCAGGATATGAGCGTAAGAATTAGCCCAGGCTCTCAGTTACTCTGCTCTATCACTTCTCTGAATGTAGAAGGCTGTATTCCGGATTTTCTAAGACAGCCTTGATTTATGATTCTGTTTCACTTGCTCCATAAATAAATGTCTGTTTGTCAGACCACCTACTGGTCATTTAGGATTATATAGTCATAGGGATAGTGATCACCTTTTCCTTCCATGAGAAGTTCGTCCCTCTCCTTCAAAGCCCTTTCCAAGGTTTCTCATGCTTCATAAAACTGAAGCAGCAGTGGAGAAAAGAGGGTCCTAGTCCCACAAAGGAGACTGTAGACAGGATGAGCAGCCCCTATAGGGTGCCCTGGAGAGAGGCTGCAGAATTGAGGAACCCAGGGACCACGCTCTTTGTGGGAAGAAGGCAGTGGCCACAGTGGCCTGCTGTGGTTTATCTGCAATCTCTCAGCTAAGTCAGGGATGGACAAGCTTCACAGCCCTCAAGTTCTGCTACTTAAGTAGCACAGCCATAGTCACTCTGGCTTAGAAAAGTGAAGGATCACAAATCAAGATCCTAATAACTGCCAAGAGGTTGAATGTTGTAAGAACAGGTTACAATGGGGTAAAGTCCTAGGTTGAAAGAAAGTGCTGCTGAACCTGAGTTTCCTCACCAAGCCTCCTCTCTGCATTTGACCTTGGTCAATGTGCCAAGGGAGTTACCTGTTAGTAGGGGGACCACCTGTCCTGGCTTGTCTGGTACAACCCTGGTCTATGTCCATTGTCCTGGCAGCTCCATTCACTTTCAGAAGTGACCTAGCATGGATGATAAGTTATGTGGCCACCATATCTATTAGCCAATAGCATTATGTGCAGGTCAGGGTTCTCAATAAGAATGTTGAAATTGACCACCAGTTAGCCAGCCCTGGAAGTGATGCTTTCTGCAGCCCTGGTTCTGTTACTATATGACCTTGAGCAAGTCACCTAGCCTCTATGTCTCAACTGACGTCTTCAACTTACGTCTACAGTTATTGCATGGTATTCAGAAGTGGAGACTTACAGGCAGAAGCAATGTTATTACATGCTCTGATGCTCAGTGGTAGAAGGAGTGAGACAAAGTGAGGACTGCTGGGAAACATCCCCCAAACTTGACTGCATCCACCAAACTGGACTGCAAGCTCCTGGAAGGCAGGGGCTGGGTCTGTCTGGCTTGTTAACCACCCATCACCATGTCCCCAGCCAGTACAGTGTGGGGCATACAGTAAGTTTTCTGTAAACATTTGTGACAGTAAATTAAAGGGCGTGGGTAGGGTTCCTGGGAGGAGCACTGAGCTGGCTCTCAGGAACATGAATCTAGTCCTGGTTCTGCTTGTGTGTAACCTTCTGCAAGTCACTTAACCCCTGAGTCTCAGTTTCGCCTGCAAAATAAGGGGACTGGTACAGACTCCTTCCAGTCCTCTGATGCTTCTATAGGAAAGCATTTAGCAACGAGATAATCCCCTTTCAAAGCCTCAGGAATTAATTGTTGGATCCTTTTGACAACAAACAAAAGAATGAGAGGGACAAAGGAATTGATCCGCATCACTCCCGTTACTGTGTATGCCTGTGTCTTATCTGGCTGGGATCTATTGGAGCCATTGCCCAGTTAGAACTGACTCCAGTGTGGCTCGAACAGGATATGTTTCCAGGTGCTGTTATTGAAGAGCCTTTTGGTGCAATATATTCTTTCTTCTATGAGGGCACTCACTTCCTCCCTGCTGTTTTAGATAAAAACAAAACCAAACAAAACCAAACTCAAGTTCTTTGGTGCCAGAGGCAGAAAGAGATAATTTGACCTTGGACTCTATAAATTCACCTCCCTTTCCCCACTTTACTTGCAGGTGTCTTTGAATTGGCAAGGGCAGGTGTCTTGCTCTCTTTGCTTTTATTTCTGTTTGGTTCAGTGATGAAACCATAAACTGGGGCTCGTAATCAGAAGCTGTGTCTCTGCAGGGATGTGAGGTTTCCAGACTGAAATTTTGCCTCAGAGCAAAGTAGAAAGATACACTGGGAAGGAAACATTGCATTCCTAAGTCAGAATTAGAAGCCCTTCTTCTAACGCGGACTGTTTATTTTCCATTTCATCGGGGAATTTCCTGCACTCTTCCCCGAAGATAAAGCTGTTAAGAAGGATGGAGACAGAAGGAGCTTCCTATAGGTTGAGAAAAATTAATCTCTCTGTACCTGAGAAAGAAGCAGAAATGATTGTACTTCTCACCTAGAAATTGAAATGGAAAAGCAGTTTTTAACTCAGAACAAAGAGACCTGAAGTTTCATGTTCTTTGCAGGCAGAAAGATATGCCTTGGAGAGAAACAAGATTGAGAGCCAGGAGCAGTGGCATGCATTAGCCATATTTGTGGTGTAAGTATTCTTACCAAAGGTTTATTTCAAGCTATAAAGGTAGTCTCATTGAACAGAGCTCAGAAGAGATGTACACAATCTACTCTTGAGGGCTTAAATGAGTCATTTCCAGATACCACTGAAAGGAGTTACAAGGGAAGAGAAAGAGAAGAGTGTTCGGAACAAAGGTGCCTGACAGAAAAGCAATGAGGTTGATTTTTTCCTATTCTAGTTAAAAGGTTTTGTTTTAATTTTAAGTGTGTCACAGAACTCCTTTATTATTATTATTATTTTAAAAATGTATATAAAATTAGAAGCTATGTGCTCAGGGAGGCCATATAATCTCAGGATTTTAATAATTTCTTAGGGGAACAACATTACCTTTTTTTTTTTTTTGTAGCTCACTTTAACTATGAATGTGAATTCTAAAGAGAGGTCTAGCAGTTTTCTGCGATAGCTAGGTTTTATAAAATTTAAGTGTGAATCATATTTTGAAATATCATTCTATTTTGGAAGACCCTGGGAAATCTGTCTTTTTCTATGGAAACTTATAACTAATCTTTCCGTATGTTGAACATCTGCTTGCAATGTAAGAGATCACTTTTTGATTTATCTCCTTGTGAAGTTTTAAAAAAATCCTAAGTTTTTTGACAGCAAAATATCCTTATAGATACCTGAAAGCATTCTGAAAAGGGATATATAGCTATGTGAATTCCTAAACCTAACAGGCAACAACTTTCAGCACTCCCAAAACAGTGTGGGCTGGGGCTATCTGAATTAGAAAGTTGGTGGTTACCAGCGTGTCTATTTCTGGGCCTCATCCCAGCACCACTAAACCAGAATGCTTGAGGTAGGGTTTTGGAATCTGCCTAGTTAGCAAGCTCCATGGATGATTTCTGACTATTCTACACTTTGGGAATCACTACCCTAAAAGACTGGGACATCCTTTCCTCCTTCCCTCCACATTCTATAAAATCAATACTGATCTTTATGAAGTCATAGGTCATCTCTTCCCATTGCCAAGATGGTGGCATAGTTTCAGGGCACTGGAAGAAAGCATGTGACTTTTCATGTAATTCTACTTTTTGACATTCTAATGAACAAACTTCCACAGTAGGCTGTCCTCTTCAAGTTAAGCCTATTATTTCTGGGAAAAGAAACACTTTAAATGGTTTCAGTCATTGACACCCTGATATGAAGGAGTCAATAATCTCCCTTTTAGAGGGGATTGTAAGAGAACTGAAAGGCCATAGTGGAGAAAGATGAAAGCAATAGAAAGGAATGGCTGAAGCATCTAAAAATAACATGTATTCTTTTTAAAGTTTAGCCTAGGCCTGGCCCTGAATGACCTAGTTTAGGCTTCATTCTCTAGGTGGTTTTAGAGTTGTAGGGAACTTAAAGTGTTGGTTTTACTAGTGAGCAATATTAGAAGAGTTAGGACAAATCAAACCAACCATTTAGGCCTGGGATTGCAAATACATTTTATTCCCTGTATCAAGTCTAATTGATCATAGCTACTTGAAATTCTATCGAAGAGACTGAAGCCACATCCAGGCTTAGTTCCAGAATGTTGTAATTGATTAGTGATGCCTGCCTTGGTTGTTGGAGGGGAGGTGGTGATATATGTGCAACTTATTTACTATCTCTAGTTTAGAAAAAACCTGTTTGGATACAGACTGAGGCAGTGCTCCTGGCACGATGCCATCAGAGCAAGCAGAACACAGTACCTCTGGAGAAAGGAGGTAATCGAGAGTGCCGTCCTTCATGTTATTCAATGCTTCATTACTTGGAACAAAAATGGTATATGGTCCACCAACTCCATCCTCATCTAAAACACGTCCCACGTTGGTTTTCTGCATTTGGGAAATGAAATTTTGTATCTGCAGCCTACCTTGGACAAACATTTAACATAATTCCCCAGAAATTTATAATTGACACCCCTGTTAATTTTACAAAAGTCTTGACATAAATATTTTTCAGAAAATTATGAAAGGTGCATACCTCTAACAAAGACCTGAACTTGCTGTATCTTGGTTGTAGCATTGTCATTATGGTTTGCTAAAAAGAGACATTTTGCTTAAAAATCAGGAAATAAAATAATGTGATTTAGGAAATACAAACCCTAATATTTAAAGACTGATGACAGAGTTTATGTGTCAGTATGGATTTATATAAATGAACCTGGTCAACCACAATGCATTATAGAAATGTTTGCTGTCATTGAAACAGTAGGTCAGATCTGCATGTTCTGAAGTATCCTTTGGCCCTCATCATCTAGGTCAGAAGTAGTAAGTTTTATTGCAGCAACAACTGCCCTCTATAAATTAAGAGGGACACATTTTCATGACGATTGGTCATGGACTGAGTTGCCCGATGCAGTAATAAAAGAGGTAAAAAAAAAAATCCAGATCTTTCCCACATATGTAACTGGATGTCTTGCTTTCTTTCTGCAGAGATTCCCAGGATTCTGTTGGAAACAGACAAACCACCTCTTCTTCTCTCTGCTTGAGATTCTAGCACAAATGAAGCACAAGCACAGAGTGCTGGCACGCTCTGGATGCGACTCTCCAGGGAACAAAGAAAGATGGACCTGGGCTGATGTGACTTTTATCTGAATACTCACCTCATTATTGCTCTCAAATATGGGTTCTAGCATGTCCATGGTTCTGTCAAGGATGTGCAGAAGCCCATTGGAAGCAATGATGTCTCCCTGTATAATTTTTACCTTCGTTTTGCCTCCATAGAGTTTAAGCTTTATTTGATTGTCCTAAAACACCAAAGAAAGATAAAATAAGATTAGTATGGTGTCCTGGAAGGAGCAAGCACAGGAGTAGAGTCAGAAGTCTTGAGTCCTTGGGCTTTGATATTTATTGGCAATGTGATTTTGGTTAAGTCACTTAATCTAAAGTGGGGATGAAGGTATCTGCTTGGTTAACCTCACAGGGTTTTCATTAAGATCAAATGATATCATATATGTAATCACTGACAACTATACATGCTAAACCTGGGTAAGGTATTACCAAGCTCTTCTCCAGCAGACTGCAAGCTTCATGAGGAAAACTATTTAATTTACTATAAATTCATCACCCGCCTTAGTGTCTTGCACAGAGAAGGCACACAATAAAAGTATTTGTGGAATAAATAACTGAAGCTAATTCCTTCTTCCTCCCATATGACTCCTAATAAGTGACAGACTTAGTGAATATTGGTTGAATGAATGAACAGGTAAATACATGCATATCCTTGTAAGAAAGCAAGCCACATCTTCATATCTGTCATTCATCCATATATCCATGCATCCATGCATCCTCCATCCATTTCTCCAAGCAGCCATTCATCCATCCAGCCATTTGTCTATCCATCCATGAATCAATCCTCCATGCATCTCTCCATCCATCCATCCATGCATCCATCCATACATCCATCCACGCATCTTGTGACCTATCCATGTATCTACCAATCCATCCATTCAGTGACCTATCCATATATCCATTTATCCATCCATCCATCCATCCATCCATCCATCCACCCATCCAGTGACCTATCCATGTATCCATCCATCCATCCATCCATCCATCATCCATCCATCCATCCATCCATCCAGTGCCCTATCCATCTATCCATCCATCCATCCATCCATCATCCATCTTCACACATGCACTACAGCAGATTGGTTAAGAATGTGGGCTTTGGAGCCACATTTGAATCCTGGCTCTGGCACTTACTGTGTGGCCTCTCTTCTTTCTCACTGGAGCAACAGGGATTATGATAGTCCCTCCTTCACAGGGTTATTGTGAGCCTTATATAACACAAATAAAGATTTATCCCCATACTTTGTTTAGAACAAGCACTCAAGGATCTATTAACTACTGATGGTTAGTGAAATTTAATAGTATAGGTCCTATGCCTATACACATGCACATTTTGTTGACTAATCACCTGCTCCCCAGCTCAATAAAATCACAGAAAGAGTTAAGAAATGAGGGTGGGGTGGGGGAGGATGGGTTTATATAAAAAACAAACAGAACTAATGGCATTAGGAGTGATGAATGTTAGGTGGGAGAAGATGGATCAACTCCAGCAATCTAAAACAAACACAATCTATTTCCTTCTGTAAGAGGAATGCTGATCTGGCTTTGTGCTGATGCTTTTAGGAAACAGGTTTATAGCAAAGTTTCTCCTTCCTGCTGGCAGCTGAATGACAGTTGCCTTGAAAACTAAATCAGACCAGACCAAAGTCAAACACTTTATAACTCCCTTTGCATAATACTCCACCCTTCCTCTATGACCTTTCCTGGTGTTGCCGTTTCTTCCTATATAAGAAGGTGTTTGACAAATGATACATAAGGAAATAATTTCCTTGTAATTTTTCACAAACCCCAAACAAAAAGAGAGAGAAGGCTATGGTAGACAATCAGTTCTGGGAGTGAAAATCAGAGGAACCCTTACCTTATCACTGTTGAAGATTTCCCCCGACTTTCCAGTCAAGGTGTAGAATGTGTCTGTGTTATTCATATATTCGATGTTCATCTGACCAGCAATTATGTGGAGTTTCACGAAGTATTGAGCAGCTTTATTATCCACCAAAAGCTCATTTACCTAAGACAAAAGAGCCAGTTTGACTATTATTTAAAGAAGAAAACGAGTTTTGTAACGCGTGCTGTGCCTTACTTAGTATCAAAGACATCAAAGCCAGGGCACCCTAACTTGGGTTTAGGCTTTTGCAAATACAAATGTATGAAAGCACTGACAATTATACATGCTATACATTACTATCAGTGCAATCAACCCGGGCCAGGCCTTCCAGGGAGTAGAAATCTGGAGAGTTGGAGGCAATGCACAGTCTACTCTCAAACCAGAGGAGATTGCTCCAGCACTGAAACTGACATGGGGAAAGCGCAGCATTGCAATGGCCCCAGGAGGAACAAGGAACAAGGAATCTATCTTGAACACGGGAAGCAGATGGGAATAAAATATGAAGTTTCATGGAAAGAGTAGGTAAAGTGAGTAAGCTGATGGTACTTTTGAATAGAAAAGTTAAGATTTTTGAAATCCATGGGACCAAATCTACATTTTATCATTACTATGTAGTCAACAATCAACAGATACTTATATTAACTCTGTGTAAACCATGTGTTAAATGAGAGACCACATGCAAAGTGCCTAACCTAGACGCATAGAATATTTGCTGGTTCTTTCCAACAGGAGAGGTGTGAGGACATCTCTGAAGGTGAACGATAGAAACATAAATATCAGACAGGTTAATCATGGTGGTATATGAGGGTCAGAGAGCCAGGAACTTACTGGGTTTTGATTCACTGCAACAAAAATTATTATCACAAAATATCTTGGATGAAGATAACCCAATTTTATTTTTTCATTTTTATTTTTTTCCACTTCCCAGATTTCAATCTTTTATTGGCTTCCATCATTTTATGTGTATTTGTTAATCCATTTACTTATATGTTTATTTATTTCTAGCTGATCTGTTTCACAGAGCATTTAAGACAGATGACAAGAACACACAATAAAAATCAAGATCAGGGCCAGGCACGGTGGCTCACGCCTGTAATCCCAGCACTTTGGGAGGCTGAGGCAGGCAGGTCATGAGGTGAGGTGATCAAGATCATCCTGGTCAACATGGTGAAACCCCTTCTCTACTAAAAATACAAAAATTAGCTGAGCATGGTAGCACGTGCCTGTAGTCTCAGCTACTTGGGAGGCTGAAGCAGGAGAATCACCTGAACCCGGAATGCACAGGTTGCAGTGAGTCAAGATCGCGCCACTGCACTCCAGCTTGGATGACAGAGCGAGGCTCCATCTCAAAAAAAAAAAAAAAAAGAAAAAAAAATTCAAGACCAGGAAAAATAAAACATGTGTTAGATGGTAAAGGTGGGAGGGAGAAAGATATATATAATCTTCCTACACAATGACTAAAATGGAGGCCAGTGAAGATAATAAAATTGTATACAAATCGATATGTCCATTATTTACATTAAACCAAATGTAACTATTTTACTGATGCCATCTCGATAGGATGCCTCCACCAGGCACTACAAGTTTCATTCCCACTGGATAACATTATCTCAAACAACAGCTGCTCACATTGAAGACTAAAATTTTCTTATTTTTTCCCTATTGCTTGTACCATTTATAATGATTTAAAAAACCCACATATCTAGCTAACACATGAGTTTAATTCTTCCTGTGGGAAGTGAGCAGTTTTGCATTATGCAAATCTTCTCTATCACCTGGCTATATGTTAAGAACACTCAGTGGTTACCTGTAGAGGGTAATGATTAGAAAGGGGGACCAGGGGGCCTTCTAGGTTCCTGGCAATGGACTTGCTGTTTACACAAGTGCATTCACACTGGGAAAATTCATTGAGTTGTACACTTACAATTTGTATACTTTCTGTAAGGATGTTATATATCACTAAAAGAAGTTTATCAAAAAATCACCATCCTTATCATCAGTAGGTTTAATTTTAATGGGGGCTTCCACTTTAAATAAAAGAAGGTACTCCCTACTAAGGCTTTTCATATTAGCCCCTTGGTGTAGGGTCATTTTAAATACTCACATTGAATTCTTTCAGTCCCTTATCTGTAGGTAACAGCACCGTGAAGGGCCCCAGCTTACTCAGTGGCCAGGCATAAGCTTTGTCTTAGGAGTCGAAATAACAAAAAGAAAGAAAACACCAAATGAGTCAGTGGTACACGAGGAGTAAAATCAGGCAACAGGTCTTGGGTCACGACTGGTCCATTTATGCCGTTCTCTATTCTAATGGGTATGTGCAGGCCCTGTGTCAACTGGGAATCTCTCTAAGAATGTGAGGCAACCTAAAGCCATGGCCTCAAAACATTCCATGTAATGCCATGAGAGTTTTCCTGTAGATAGCCTCAGCTTCAAAGATACCCTGGCTGAGCAGTTCAGGCATGACAAAATCCTACCACAACCCCAGGGTCCCTGACCCTGTGCTTGACTTTCTGAACTGTCACTGTCTCGGTGAGCAAAGATGCAACCCTTGTTTTCATCCAAGGCCAGCTCAGAAGAGCCCCGATGGTTGGTTTAATGCTCTGCTGTTGCCATGTTGAAATGCTTAATAAATTTTGAACAAAGAATCCTGCATTTTCACTTTCCAGTGGGCCCAGCAAAGTATGTAGGTAATCCTGTTTCCATCACCTGGGGAAGCTGGGATGACAGGACAGGCTCTGTGTTCTCACACCTAGAGGCAGTGTACAAGGACTTTGTCATGGGAAGGTGAAAAGTCAACAGGACTCTGTCTAGGGAAATGCTGGAGGGCCTGGTCTGCAAAAAACACTACCGCACCCCTGTCTGCTCCCATTTGGTATTCTAAGAGTTCTTAGAGTAAGGCTGTGAGGAACCCGGCAGATTGCCCCTGAGCTCAAGGGATGCCAGTAATGTTTGACGCCCTACGGGATGCCTTGGGAAAAGTGGGACGTTTATGCAGGAGACATTAAATGGGATATTTAACCTTAAGATTTAGGCAGAGAACACAGCATTGACCCATCGATGACATTTGTTTATCTATGTTCTTGCCAGGAGATCATTTTTGGCAACTGGTAAATTCCACTGTAAAAGCTGATATTTTAAAGTTTCTGTTGATTGGCCAAGTCTGTGTTTTACTTTTTGCAGAGCGGCCGGATTCGTATTTTATTGGAAATTGCGTCCAATGCTGTGATCAGTTATAATATTTCATTCTCTAGAGTAATGGCCCATAGAAGGCATTTGCAAATACATGAGGCTGTTTTAGGCTCTCACCTTGCCTGGGGGGCTGGAGGTGAATGTGTCCCTGTAGGCAATTAGTGACTGGGGGACCAAGGGTGCTAAATGGTTGCATACAACCAAGACTATTCTAAAATTCAAACAGCCCCTCCACTGAGGAGCAAGGATGCCGCCCTGGGGTCTCAGTCACCCTCTCTATTCCCAGTTTTATCTGCCAAGCTGTGTTCACACCTGCAGGATCTAGAAGGTCAAGGGCGAGGGGGACAGTTTGTATCCTCACACCAGTAGCTGTCCTGGTCTTACTGTTACTGCAGCTCTGTTGGTCTATGATGACCCCCAGACCCTGTCCTCAGCTCTCTGCCTACTGATTCTTGCATTGCTAGGTCTCTTGGCACTATC